AGGAATTATATTGACTTCAAACTGCTTAATGTGGTAAGGATATTTTAATACTGATGTTACTAATATATGAACATCAAATATTTTCCTACATTTTTGTGTCCTCTCCAATTTCTTTCATTATCGTTTATAATTTTTACTTATAGAATCTTTTACTTTGGTTAAACTTAGTCCTGTTTATTTGGCTATTGTGAATGATTTCTCTTTTAGATGCTTCATTATTGGCATCTAGCTCTGCTTCTGGGGTTCTTTCTTTTTGCTTCTATATGTCAAATTTATATCCTGCACACTTTTGAATATATATATATATTATATTATTATATATATTATATATATTATATATTATATATATATAATTGCTATCTGCAGAAAATGACAATTAGACTTCTTTTTGAATTCAGGTGCCCTTTATTTCTTTATCTTCCTGATATGCTAGCTAACACTTCTAGTACTATATTGAATAAAAATTATGAAAGCTGGTAACCTTGTCTTGCTCCAGACCTCAGTGAAGAGGGTTTCTGCTTTCTGTCATGCAATATACCATTAGCTCTTGGCTGATTATACATGACCTTAATTGTGGAGAGTTGCATCCATTCTTCAACTAATTTATAACTCAGCATTTTTATCATGAAGAGTTATTGCATTTGATCAAATGTCCTTTTGGATTTATTGAGAGCATCACATGGTTTTTGTCCTTCTGTGTGCTGCTGTAGTATATAATACATCTTGCTGTACTGATATTGAAATATCCCTGTGATGAACATCATTAAAACATAGTGAATAATCTCTTTAATGTGCTGTTAGAGTCAGTGTGCTATTATTTATTTGAGAATTTTTGTGTCTGTTTCTGTGTTAACCAAAGTTTCCTTTATATTTTTTTCTGTTTTGTTGTGTTGTGTTGTGTTTTGCTGTGTCCTTGTCTGGTTTTCATACTGGGGTATTACTGGGCTTGTGTAGAATTCCTTCTACTTCTACTTTTTGATATAATTTAACAAGAATTGGTATCCTTATTTAAATGCTTGATAGAATTCAATACTGAGGCCATTTAGGCCTGGGATTTTCTTTGATGGGTAGTTGTATTGTTAATTGGTTTTTATCACTTGTCACTGATTTTTCTAGGCTTTCTATTTATTCATGATTAAATCTTGGTAAGGCATGTGTATCAAAGACTTTGTCTATTTCTTCCATGTGTTGGCATATGGTTGTTCATAATAATTGCTAATGATCTTTCATATTTCTGTGGTATGAGTTGTTATGTTTTCCTAGTTTTCTGATTGTTTGAAAAAGTTTATATTCATATTAGTAGGTGGGTTTTTTCTGTGATTTTATTTTTATACTGCCCTTATTCAATTTATTAGCAAGGTAAGACTACCCATAGCTAAGATTGTAATGGTTACTGGATTATTCAGATAGTCTATATATTTCCTTTGCTCAACTTTACAGTTTACAACATCTGCTAAATTCAGGGCAAGTTTCTTCATTTTCAAAATTATCTGCATAGAGAATCTTTCACAGGAGATTACAACACCGTGGTCCTCATTTTTGGTGGTAGACACACACAGTTATACAGTGATGCCTTGATTCAGGAACTTAATTCCTGCCACAGTTCTGGTCACAAATCAAAATGCACAAGAACCAAATCAAATTTCCCCATAAGGTCAATGTTGAACCTAACCAGTGGACATGATTTGGTTCTTGTTCAATTTAGTTTGTGAACAGAATTATGAAAGGAGTTAAGTTCATGAACCCACATACCACTGCATAAATCTAGCAAATATATCAAGTGGTGTTTTGTAAGTAAAGTTCATAATGAAAAAGTGACCCTCTCATATTAACATTTATCTGCAGAAACCTTATCTAACATTTTTTTGTGATTTTCCTCAGAGATCTTTTTTTGTATTTTTAGTCTTCCATGCCTCTGCATACATTTTGGAGCAGTTGTTCTTTTATTCTTTTTATAAGATTTGTTCACTTGTTAGCTCTTAAATAACTAGCTCCTTGAGACTTACTTTTGCTTTCTTGATCTTTTGCAACAAGTACTTTGTGTTACTCTTGCTACTCTCACCACTGTTCTTTGTGAATAAATGAGAGCATTGAAAGGACAGGTGACCGGAGGAAGGTACAGTACTTGGGTTAAAGACCAGAAGTGAAGGCATGCTTTTCTCTTTCTCGTTTCAAGGTTTCCACTGCAGCCAGCCAGTAGGTCAGGCCTAATAGCTACTGGAGGCAGTTTCTACTTTGAAATTGATGTGACAGAAATATCATTTGGTGCTTTTAAGAATTCTCCTCACATTCTTTGAAGAGTGCTTAGGTGACAATGTGGGTGTTTGTTACTTTTAGGATCTATATTCTGTCACTTTTGCATTCACAGCCATAATATTTGCTCTTGATGTAAGACCTTTCCATTACTGACTGCCTAAAGGAAATGGGCAGCAGAATCGGAAAATACCGTAGTGTAGCATTAGTTAACTGCTAAATAGTATATTTTATTATGTTGCAATTTGTATGCTTGTTTTACCAACTAAAAAATTTTGATTACTTAACACAATTTATAGTTTTCCTTTTGCTAAATATTTAACATAATTTATATTGTTATATACATAATGTATATTTTTTGTATTTTTTCATTTTGGCTTTGTCAAAACCAAACTACTTCTCTAGATTAGAGGCAGCTAATTTTCCTTAATTGTTAAATGTAAAATCCTAATTGCCTTTAATTTTTCTTCTGGTCACCAAAATGTGTACTATGAAAAAAACAGAATGGACTATCTGATAATGTCATGTTAATATACAATACCAAATACGATATGAGGAAATGCTACTGTTATTAAAAACATACCCAGAAATGCATTTGTTTGTTGCCTTGGGGCTCATTCACAGTAACAGGTGCTCTGCTACAGATGTTTCCAAAATATTAATGGACGTCATTTCCTCTGCATGTAAGATAATTATGTGTTTTTGAAAAGTCAAGAAAAATATATAGGCTGGAGATAGGATTTTGTTGCTTACAAAGTCTTATCAAGCAACCTGATTGTACTTTTACTGACTGATGCCTGGAATCAATGGCAAAGTTATCTGAAATTTGAATTTGATTTCCTAGAATTGAAAAAATTAAAAAGTGGGACAGCATAAACTTGAGTATAACTCGCTTTTTTCTCTATATTCTCCTTTTAAAAAATATATTTGGAGCATCTTTTCTGGTTGTTGTTTTGCCTTAATCTTGGGAAACACTTGTCAGCCCAAAACCAAAAGCCAGCTTCTAGCTTCTGAGGCCTGTCAGGACAGCAACCGAAACTGGGTGGCTAAGAGCACAGGAAGTTATGTTCTCACAGTGCCAGACGCTGGATGTCTGAGATAAGAGTGTCACCAGGGTTGGTCTTTTGAGACCTTTTTCCTGGCTTATAGGCAGTTGTCTTCTTCCTCTGTCTTCACATGGTATATTAGTATTCTCAGGAGAAATTTGTGTGGTTTGTGTGTGTGTGTGTGTGTGTGTGTGTCTGTCTGTCTGTCTGTCTGTCTGTCTGTCTGTCTGTCTGTCTCTCTGTCTGTGGTGCTTAAGTACATGTGTGTGGGGGGAAAGAAAGAGACAGATGCTTGAGAACAAGGGAGATTTGCTTATTTATTTTAGTTAAAGACTGGCTCATGTGGTAGCGGAGGTTTTGAAAATACATAATCTGCCGGTAGCAACCCCAGGAAGAAGCACGGAGGCAGAGGCAGCCTACTTGCATCAGGGAGTTAGTCTTGTTCTGTTGAGGACTTCGGCGATTAGATGAGGTCCATCCACATTGTGAGGATTTTATTTTATTCAAAGTCCACTGATTCAAGTGTTAATCCTATCCAAAAATACCTTCACAGAAGCATTGGCAGCAGTGTTTGACCAGTTACCTGAGCATTAAAGCTCAAGCAAGTTGGCACATTAAATTAACCACCATGCATGATCTCCCCTCCATACTCATCCACGTACAGATTTCCTCTTATAAGCACACTAGTCATACTGGATCAGAGCCCTTTCTAGTTAGTTCATTTCAATTGAAGATCTCATTTCTATTTGTAGACACCTTGTAAACTAATGGGTATTAGAAATTCACCATACGAATTTGAGGGTTGTATCATTCAATCATAATGATCATTAAATGTAAAAGCAAGCATAAATAGAAAAGAGGCGTTTTTTAAAAAAAAGTAATCTTACTGTTATTTAAAAATTTATTATTTTCTGTGTCTTGGGATAACACATCTTTGTAATTTTTTTTTTTTTTTGTGGAACCAGGGATTGAACTCAGGCCCTTGCTCTTGCCAGGGAAGCACTTATTCCACTGAGCCATCTCCCCGGCCCAAATTGGCTTAATTTCTTCCCTAATCTTT